CTCAAGAGAAGAAAATGAATTGCTTTCTTCACTCCAGACTTTCAGCTCAAGAACTCTTCTCTTGGCTAGGTTTCTTAAGTGACTATTACTGAAGCAATTCTGGAAGCCTCCAATCTTGAGTCCCTTCCTCTTTGGGCTCTAAATTGGTGGGCAGTCTGCTTTAGAGAAACTAAATTCCTCTCTGGTCCCAGTGGCACGCACCCCCAGATAGGATAGAGGAAGGGCAGTGAAGTCTGAACCTTAGATAAACAACGCACGCATTTCCAGCTACTGCGTGGGAAATGTATTGGAAGGCACTGCTAGACCTGATGATTGTTTGCTGTGTGCTTGAGAGAATAGGCTCATAGCGCTCACGTGGCCCCGAGGGAAGCCATTTGTGGGCATGTGGAAAGACTGGAGAGGGATTTGAATGAACACTTAGGACTGCAGAATTCAGCCTTTCCGTCCGTCTCCGCTCACTTCCTAATTAATACATGTGGGAAACAGCGTCATGAAGAATGGCTCCATCCAGCCCCTACCTTTACCCAGATTACTTTACCCGAATTCATCCATTAAGTAAAATAATAGTGCTGTGAGAGGCTATTTACTGCATATCTGGAAGCCGCCCATGTGAGGAATTGTAGCTCCCTTGTTTCTGCCCGGGACGCCTTCCTTGTTGGAAGGTCCAAAGTTAGTGTCACCCGAAATGTACGGCTTGTTCTTTGGGTAAAGCTCTATTGAACATGTACTTCTTTTGCACCCGAGGATGAGCTCTTCCTGTTTTCCCATGTTGCTGAATTTCACCAAGAAGCCACATGGGTTTGTGCCCCAAAGCCCCAATTCATCTATGGCTGGGAACAAAACTCACCAGGCTGCAGGAGGAAAGGTGCGATCCCGGTGACAGCCGGGCCCTCTGCTGGGCTGGTCTGCCAGGGTGTGCACCCAGCCAGTGGCCTGGGGCGGAGGCCCTGGGACAATCCAAGCAAACAGGGCTGGGCTCTCTCCCTGGGAGTGCGGCTCCCACCTCTTCTTCATGGTGGCCGTATCACACTCAAACTCTCCCTTTGGCAAGAAGATGGACCGCCCCGATGCATGTTTGCCTGGGGCCATGGCCGCTTGTAATAAACTTTATATGATATAAAACAACCAAATAGTAAAGCATATTTTGAGCATGATTTTGAACCAAAATCAATAATGGGGTTAGTGAAGATGGAGAAATAGAGACAATAAACATGTTAGCTGGACTATGTTATAATATAGCGTGTGTCAATTACCATGCTGGAATTTCTTTGAATATAAGATACACTGAAGAGTAAAAGTAAAATGGAAAAGGGTCAAGGAAGGAAAAGAGGCCATGTTGGAGGCTGGGCAGCCATAGGGTGGAGGTGGGTCAACCATAAAAACAGCATCAGGGAACCTGCTGGAATAGTTTAAGAAGGGAGGAGATGGGAAGACAGAAAGAACGAGGGATGAATTGGACCCAGGTACATTGCGTGTGTAAGAACACTCAGAATAAACCCTTGTACAACTAAGATATGTTAATAAAAAACCTTTTAAAAGAGCAAAAATCATGCTGGAAAACTTGTCCCAAGTGACGGAGCTTTTGTAGCTAAGTTACATACTTATCCATACCAAATACGAACTTGTCTCTATTGATGGGTGCTGTGTTGTTTCCGTACCTTGCCGATCATGAACAGAGCTGCCATGGGAAGGGAGAGATTCCTCAATAAACTGGCTCCATGCGGCTTGCAGACATACCACAGAACTGGGATTTCTGGGTCCTACAGTAGTTCTATTTTTGCTTCTGTTTTCCCTAATGTTTTTCCATGATGTCTTCACCAATTTGCATTCCTGGTGATTTTCCCTAACTTCTCTAGCCCTGGTTTTTGTCTCTTGGATACCGGCCAATCTGACAGGTGTGAAGTGGCATCCGCTGTGTGCCAAGAATACTTGATGGAGAAAGGAAAGGCTCTCCGGTAAACGTTCTTGAGCACCCGAATATCTCCCCACGAAAGAATGAAATGGAGCCTTGTCTATACCACATACGGAAATTAGCTTGAAATGAACACAGACTCAAACATAAGGTTTGAAACCCAAGTCTGCTCGAAAAATCACACACCGAAGGGAGGTCTCTCACTTTGGTCTTGGCTATCATTCCCTGGATCAAAAACAAAGGGAATGTGATTCCAAACACAGAGACAAAAAAAAAAAAAAAAGATGAGCCAGCAGCCAGGCTCTATCAGACCCGAAATCTCTGTACGAGAAAGCAATCAAATCCACGGGCCGTGCTCATGGAGCGACCTACATAGCCCAGCCCCACCACATCCCACACAATCATGGCGGTGAGGACGTGTGTCTGGGTGTGAAGAGGGGAGGGAGGGAAGGCGGATGGGTTGGAGATGCAGGTGGCAGCTTCGGTTGTGAGCTGAGCCCGTGACAGGCTCGTGTCACTTGTGTCTGCTGTGCAGCAGGGTGGTGACAGCCGGAGGAGCGTCTGCAGGGTGGGCAGCATCTCCCCGCGACCTGGCAGACATGGCTTTGTCACGTCCGGGTGAGATGTTGTGCCTGAGACTCGACCCTGAGGTTCTGGGCTTTCGTGGCTCTCCTCAGGGTGCTGTTGGAGTCAGGACGGCCAGGGTTCTATTCTGCTCGCTCTGGGGCACATCAGTGGGGCTGCTGGACGCTGACCCACGTCGCCCCTGAATCCTTTTGGGCAAAGGTACTGTCTTGGACTTTGCAGGGCTTTGTTCCTGTCCACAAAGATTCTTCCAGCTCTCTAAAAATGTCCAGCCTTTTGTATCACGGGTGCCTGGCCTGGGAGGCCATTAGATCAAACGTATACCCACAATTGCTCGTGCTGGTTACTTGTCTCGAAAGCGCTCTGTCCTTTAGAACACCGATAAGCACATTGCATGGCATCCTAAGTCGACCTTTTTTTCTCTGGGAAAGCGAGTGGAAGTCTTCAAGCCAATGGGCTGCCATGGTAAACTTGGTTCTCGAGAAGACAGTTTCCCTCACAAGACCAAGAAATCGCTGAGGCTGGCAGCCTGTCTGGGGTGGCTTTTTCCTCAGTTCTGAAGCCTATTTAAAGAGGAATCTTCTTTTGTTTTCCTGTAGAATCCACGGGCACAGCTAACACACAGTAGAGACCTCATCTCTGAGGATCAGCCAGCCTCTCCTGAGCTCCAGGGCCGGCACACATCTTCAGGGAAACGCGTGCGGGCGTCTCTCCTCATGCCCCCTTTGCTCTGCCCTCTCCTCGGGTGTGTCTTGGTTAGAGGCGGACACGCGTCTTGCTTTGTACTTCGGATGCGAGATTTTTCTGGTGGGCTGGCATTCTCTCCTCTCTTCCGCACGTGTCTGACACACCCTGCTTTTACTTCTGCAAAGCGGAAAGCTCCTTACTGCTTCTGAGGGAACTCACCGAGCTTGCCGGTGTTCCTCTGAGCGCTGCTGTGCAGAAAGCCAGGGATGTCAGCAGGTAACGGATCGATTGTCCTTGAGAAGAAATGATAATTACATGGAACTGGTAGCGGTTTGCAGGTAGGTATTGACTGAGTATACAACTTGGTGAGTAAAATGTAAGGGGTTTCCACAAGATTTTTTTAAAACCCATCTTAGGATTTCTGTAACTGTACGAAAATGCGTAGGAGGGGCAGGAAGACCATTTCCCAGCCCCCTGCGCCCTTCCTAAGTCGAGAGGAACATGCTGCTGCCGTGCTGTGGACCGTGATCTTCGGTGAGCGCCGGTGGGGCTGGTTTTGCAGGAAATAGGCTGAGGTTCCTTTACCACCATTTCCTATTATTTTTCTTTGCCCCAAAGACATGTTGGCTGCCGTGCTCGAGGGAGGAGTGATCTAGCATGGGCCTCTGTGTTCATCGATTCCCAGCACCAAGAGAACGCAGTGGCGTTGCGCTTGGGTGCGTTGAAGGCAGTGGAGCTTTGTGGTAGGTTTTCAGAAGCGCTTTCCAGTCTCATCCTGGGTGGTGTGTGTGTGTGTGTGTGTGTGTGTGTGTGTGTACACTTTCCCTCCACATGTAGATTCACGTCCCCTTCCCCGCCACATCTAGGAGGCCATCATCCCAATTTGGATGGCAAAATCCAAGCTCCCATGTTCACGAGGCACAGGTGTGTGTGGAGTAAGAGGGGCTGAAGTTCCTGGAAGCTAAGCTGGCTGGACACCTCCTCAGGCCCAAGGAGAGACAGAGCCTCGGGGCCGGGCGTGATGAATTACCCTTGCGCCGGATAAGCAGGTTTAATAAATCACAGGGAACTTTCTACCAAAGGCGGCTAGACTGCGAATTAAACCGGAGTTGGAAGTCTGACAGTTCACAGATCCGAAATGAAGAATAATAGGATCTTCTGTGGTCATCTACAGGATAGATAATATGAAGTATCAGACCTACAGTGCATTTTATAGATGATCTAATTCTAATGCTGTAATTTAACTCAAACGTTTACTGAGTAGTTTCTTGGTCTCAGAGGCTGTGATGGGACATTTAGGGGTAAAAGATGCAACCTTTCCTGTCCCTTCTGGGGGAGACAGACAGACAGACAGACAGACAGACAGACAGAGACAGAATGACAGAGAGAGACAGAGAGATTTCCTTACATTTATGTCTATGCACAGCCCCTCCTCAGCGGGTTTTGCTTCTGTTTCTGATGGGAACAGCTGTGTTCGTCAGCTTTCTGTCTGTGAGGCATCGCTTCCCAGCCTGCGGGCGCTGGGCGGCGGCCGGCCCTGGGTGCGGGTCTTTCTCCTGAGCTTGCCCCCTGTGCTGCGTGCTCAGGACACACACGCCCTGGGCTTCCCCAGAGCTCTGTCCCCCGCACTGGCTGCGGGGAGACCTCAGTGCTCCCCCTCCACAGGGAGAGGACGCCGGGGACGGGCACCGGTGTCAGTGCAGCCTGTGGGCGCCGCTCTGTGTCGGCTGGGCTGGGCTGGGCTGGGCTGGGCTGGCCACGCAGCACCGCGGGCCACAAGGGACACGAGGGCCTGGGAGACGCAGCGCAGGAGCCCTCACGTGCCGTCCTGCTCCCCCGGCAGGGGTGAGTCCTGCCGGCCCTGCTCCCCCGGCAGGGGTGAGTCCTGCCGGCCCTGGTGCTCCCTGCAGGGGTGAGTCCTTCCGGCCCTGCTCTCCCTGCAGGGGTGAGTCCTGCCGGCCCTGCTCCCCCTGCAGGGGTGAGTCCTGCCAGCCCTGCTCTCCCTGCAGGGGTGAGTCCTGCCGGCCCTGCTCTCCCTGCAGGGGTGAGTCCTGCCGGCCCTGCTCCCCCGGCAGGGGTGAGTCCTGCCGGCCCTGCTCTCCCTGCAGGGGTGAGTCCTGCCGGCCCTGCTCCCCCTGCAGGGGTGAGTCCTGCCGGCCCTGCTCTCCCTGCAGGGGTGAGTCCTGCCGGCCCTGCTCTCCCTGCAGGGGTGAGTCCTGCCGGCCCTGGTGCTCCCTGCAGGGGTGAGTCTTGAGGGCCCTGCTCTCCCTGCAGGGGTGAGTCCTGCCGGCCCTGCTCCCCCGGCAGGGGTGAGTCCTGCTGGCCCTGCTCTCCCTGCAGGGGTGAGTCCTGCCGGCCCTGGTGCTCCCTGCAGGGGTGAGTCCTGCCGGCCCTGCTCTCCCTGCAGGGGTGAGTCCTGCCGGCCCTGCTCTCCCTGCAGGGGTGAGTCCTGCTGGCCCTGGTGCTTCCTGCAGGGGTGAGTCCTGCTGGCCCTGGTGCTCCCTGCAGGGGTGAGTCCTGCCGGCCCTGCTCTCCTTGCAGGGGTGAGTCCTGCCGGCCCTGCTCTCCCTGCAGGGGTGAGTCCTGCCGGCCCTGCTCTCCCTGCAGGGGTGAGTCCTGCCGGCCCTGCTCTCCCTGCAGGGGTGAGTCCTGCCGGCCCTGCTCTCCCTGCAGGGGTGAGTCCTGCCGGCCCTGGTGCTCCCTGCAGGGGTGAGTCCTGCCGGCCCTGGTGCTCCCTGCAGGGGTGAGTCCTGCCGGCCCTGCTCTCCCTGCAGGGGTGAGTCCTGCCGGCCCTGCTCTCCCTGCAGGGGTGAGTCCTGCCGGCCCTGCTCTCCCTGCAGGGGTGAGTCCTGCCGGCCCTGCTCTCCCTGCAGGGGTGAGTCCTGCCGGCCCTGCTCTCCCTGCAGGGGTGAGTCCTGCCGGCCCTGCTCTCCCTGCAGGGGTGAGTCCTGCCGGCCCTGCTCTCCCTGCAGGGGTGAGTCCTGCTGGCCCTGGTGCTCCCTGCAGGGGTGAGTCCTGCCGGCCCTGCTCTCCCTGCAGGGGTGAGCAGGGGCGAGCAAGGGGGAGTAGTTGGTCAGCGAGAGGCAATAAAGACTGCTAAAGGGCAGACACGGACGTGTCTGTGAGGCCTGGCCCGTCCCCTTCCACCCCTGCTCTCCCCGAGGCCCCTCGTGCAGGTTAAGAGAGGAAGCGCCCAGCAGTGCCAGGGAGGACTTCCGGGGCCGCCAGGGAGGACTTCCGGAGCCGAGGCGCGCATGCGCGTGCGCCCCACGCACCTTACTAAACACGAAGAGGGCAGGCGTGTCTTTACTGACATGCGGACAAGGGATGTACATCTTAAAAAGCAGTGACACGGAGACTGCAGCGCCTGGGGAAGCCTCTGGGTATTCCAGTGCGTTGTGATGAAACCGGAAGGCAACTGTGAACGGGCAGCTGAAAACACAGAGGACGCGGCACCCACACCACTAACAGGAGACGGCATCCGTGATCTCCCAGAGCACTGGACCCACACCACTAACAGGTGCAGGGCATCCGTGATCTCCCAGAGCACTGGACCCACACCACTAACAGGTGCAGGGCATCCGTGATCTCCCAGAGCACTGGACCCATACCACTAACAGGTGCAGGGCATCCGTGATCTCCCAGAGCACTGGACCCACACCACTAACAGGAGACGGCATCCATGATCTCCCAGAGCACTGGACCCATACCACTAACAGGAGACGGCATCCATGATCTCCCAGAGCACTGGACCCACACCACTAACAGGTGCTGGGCATCCGTGATCTCCCAAAGCACTGGGTAGAGGTCAGGCAGGCAAGGAGGAAGTGAAACCCATAATACAGGGAATACCATTTGAGGAAGCATTCATTACCAATAGGAAAAAGACCGCAAGACAGAGCTACCTGTAACTGGGGGGCTGAGGGAGGGGGCGACACTGTCCACAAAGAAATGTGAGCCGGGCACCGTGGCTCACCCCTGTCACCCTAGCTACTCAGGAGGCTGAGATCCGAGGATCCCGGTTCAAAGCCAGCCCGGGCAGGAAAGTCCATGAGACTCTGATCTCCAATAAAAACCACTAGAAAACCAGAAGTGGCGCTGTGGCTCAAGTGGTAGAGCTCTAACCTTGAGCTGAAGAGCTGAGGGACAGCGCCCAGGCCCAGAGTTCAAGCCCCACAATTGACAAAAAGAAGAAATGTGCTCATTCCTGACTTAGGTCACTGTATATCACATTTACATATTTTTTTTAACAAAAGAAAAAACAGAACTTCACGATACATGTTCCCATCTTGGGTCTGGCCCATGACTTGTACACACGTCAGCTGTGTTTTAAGTAAGGTGCCTCTCAGCACCACACGCTGGAGCGATTCTTCCCGTGTGCTCCGGTGAACATGGGCGTGGATCTGACAGTGCTTGTGCCTTCTGCCTCACCACACCTTAATAAGCATTTCCAGAAGATAATCACCAGAGCCAAACATGAACTGTGCTTCCTGGCAAGACAAAGGTGAGGGACACACACATCGCTGAGGGACGCTGCGTGATAAATGAGATACGACGTGTTCATGTACGGCCATGGGTTGGTTACACTAGACAAGCTAGAGTTTGTGTTGAAGTTGAAATTTTATAATTCGTTCTGTCAGGCCGGAATGTGGACAAGTGGTCGAGTGCCTGCCTAGCATGCAGGAAGCCCTGGGTTCAAGTCTTCAGTACCACAAACACAGAGGAAGCCAGAAGGGGCGCTGTGGCTCACGTGGTAGAGTGTCAGCCTTGAGCAAGAGAAGCTCAGGGACAGCGCCCAGGCCCCGAGTTCAAGCCCCAGGACTGGCAATCAATCAATCAATCAATCAATAAAATGGAATTTGTTCTGTCATTGGAGTGGAATTAGTGGAGAGCATATATGCTTAATCAAACAACAGTGCTAAAGAGGAAATGAGGTGATAAATATGCAAAATGAGAGGACTAATGGCGGTGGTGGTGATGATGATGATGGTGATGATGATGATGGCGGTGGTGGTGATGATGATGGTGGTGGTAGTGGTGAAGGTGATGATGATGGTGATGGTGATGATGATGATGGTGATGATGGTGATGGCGGTAGTGATGATGATGGTGATGATGATGATGGTGGTGGTGGTGGTGATGATGGTGGTGGTGGTGATGTTGATGGCGGTGGTGGTGGTGATGATGATGGTGGTAGTGGTGAAGGTGATGATGATGGTGATGATGATGGTGATGATGATGATGGCGGTGGTGGTGATGATGATGATGGTGGTAGTGGTGAAGGTGATGATGGTGGTAGTGGTGAAGGTAATGATGATGGTGGTGGTGATGTTGATGATGGTGGTAGTGGTGAAGGTGATGATGATGGTGATGGCGGTGGTGATGATGATGGTGATGATGATGATGGCGGTGGTGGTGATGATGATGGTGGTGGTAGTGGTGAAAGTGATGATGATGGCGGTGGTGGTGATGATGATGGTGATGATGATGATGATGATGGTGATGGCGGTGGTGATGATGATGATGATGGTGATGATGATGATGGCGGTGGTGGTGATGATGATGGTGGTGGTAGTGGTGAAGGTGATGATGGTGATGATCATCTGGCAGAGATGGGTGATGAGGATGGTGATGATAATGGTGCTGATCAGGGAGAAATTATCCACGGCTATACCCAAGCCGGTGGTCACAATGGCAGGCATGTTGGTAAGCACCGCGGCCAGCGTTAGCTGAACGATGATAACCTCACGCTCATGGTGTGTTCGAGGCTAGCCCTCAGGGCAACCTGGGGGGGGGTGCGGTGGGGGGGAGGCCCCTTCCCGGACGGTGTCTCCACACGGAGAAGCAGGGTCTGCGAGGTTTTACTCGGTCCTGGTTAGCAGGACCCAGGGTTCACACGGCCGCCCGCACCCGCGTGCCCAGAATGTTATCTTAGACGTCAATGCTGGAAAGTCCAACACAGTCCCTGGTGCGCTGCTACTCCGCAGGCAAAACGCAGAACTCTCGGGTCGGGAGTCGACAGACAGGCGGGCCCTTTGCATTCGCCTGTTCGGGTCCCAGGCAACGTCCCTCCGGTTTGGGGAAAAATCTCATCTCTTCTCAGGATTCTACTGACCCAGCCGCTGAATGCTGGGTTTACAGGGATGCACCACCACGCCTTGCTGTGTGTGAGCGAGTCCAGCGTCCCGCGTGGAGCTTTAATGTGAGCAGCTGCCGGATACAAACCTTTTCTGCCCCTCCACGCCCTTTGTTAGGGTTAACCACATCTCGCTACTCTCCTAACCCCACTTTAAGAAAAAGGCCGCCGTTGCCTGGTGTTCAAGTCCCGCACGTCCGGTTCTCGCGGTGTTTTGGCGTCTTTTCTGCAGGTACCACACGCGTTGCCTGGGCTCTGGGCCGCCATCTCTTCCTGGTCCTCTTGTGCCCTGTTTAAAGACTGCTTCCCTGATGGCCTTTTACCGCAGCTCTGCCTACCAGAGGTCTCCCTTCGCGGACAGCCTGTCTCCTCCTTCTCGAGTTATTGATATGTTACAAGTGTCGCATCTGACCCTCCAATTCTATTGTTTGTGCCCTGATTTATCGCCGGCCCCGTTATCCCGAATGGAAGGCCCTGGGGTCAGGGGCTCGGTTTTAACTTCCATCTGCCACCCCGGCTCTCGGAGCAGCTCCAAATACATATTTCAATAGGAATCTACTGAGCTGATACCTAAGTGGGTCAGTAAAGCCTGAGCCTTGCCTTGAGAACTTGAAAACAAATTAAAATGGAAAGTCGGGCTGCAGAATGAATCTGTGAATTTGTGTAGTCCCCGGGTTACAACCTCCGTTTCTCGGAACTTAGCCACCGGTTGGATGTGAGTCCACAGGAAGGGCTTCCCACCCCACATTGCCAAAGGAGAGGGACGGGGACCAGGGATGGAGCTGGAACCCGTCCCCGGCCGCATGGAAATAAACAGGAACGGAACCGAACAGCCAATCTGTCCAGTATCAGCAATCCTCACTCCTGCAATTTTTGCAGTTAATTTCCCAGTTCAGCTGCGCGGCCTCTCTGCTGTGGAAAACAGATGACATTTCACTTTGTAGAAAGAATCCATTGTTCTCTGAAGAGTAAGGCCCTGAAAGCCCGCATCTCCTTTCCTATCTACAAATGAATCTTCCCGGCCCAACTGTTCACACAAACAGTCTCTGTTCCAAGTAACTTCCTGGTTTCAAGAAGTCTTTCTTTCTGTGCTGGCCAAGGAGGCATTTTTAAAAGCAACAGAGCGTTGATAAAACGTATTGCAAATAGGACCTGAAGTCCTCCCTGCAGGCACCGCACCTCTCCTGGACAGACGGATGGAAGCCTCCTTTAGCCCCTCGGTTGTGTGAGCCTGGCCACCATTCTCCCCCGATTGCAGAGGCAGTGGGAGGGAGTCCTGCCCGGTAAAGGGCTTGAGGGTTTATTTTTCTAGCTGTCGCCATGGGCCGGGCTGAGGCCAGACACTGCAAGATGTGGCCAGTTCCACAGGGCTCTCAAGCCCTGTGAGACTTACAGAACAGAGCCGCTCCGAATGAGAAATCCCACACGGTGTGACGGGCTGGGGTGCTCTAGCGGGGGCTGGATCTGCAGAAAGCTCTGGATGGCGCGAGTCTCCAAAGGCGGCAAGATGGAGGTGGCGCGCTTTCCATCTGCCCCCGCAGAGGTGTGTCCCGAGCGCGGCCCTCCCGCCCCACCCAGGCCTGCCCCAGCCCTGCCCCCCCCCAGCCCTGCCCCAGCCCCATCCCCGATTCTGCTCCCATGGCCTTTGCGAGTCCCCATCCTCAGTTACGGTCAGGGAGGCCTGCGAGACGCGGGTTAATGGGATGAGGAGAAGGGAGGGGCTGGCGCTGCCTCCCCCACCTTCCTGGCTCTTCCTCAACCCCCCCACCCCCACCCCATCCCAGCCCCCCGCGGTGATTGCCGGCTGGAGGCCCGGCTGGCTGCCAGGCACGTCTGAGAAGTGATCAGGAAAAGGGGGCATTTTGCTGGCTTCTGGGCTCCCGTGCTTTATCTCAATGACATGAAATTCAGAAAGAAAGGGGAAAGGGAGCTCCACCTCAGCTCTCAACACGTGGCATCATCTCTCAAGGTCCCTCGATCCATCAGAGTCGACTGGCGTCGACTCCGGGGCCTGGGCGGCGTTGGGAGGCCCCAGCCATTTCTGCTTAGCTTCCTTCCTGTCCCCAGGCCTCTAGACTCCTCTCCAAGGCTGAACACTTCTGAGAGCGCTGTGTGGCCGGAGGGCGATTGTTGAGAATGACAGGACTTCCTCCCTCTCGTGAGCGATGACGCGTTTGTGAGCTGGTGACGTGAACACGCCGCGGGGTGGGGGAGATGCGGAGGAATGCGAAGGACATAGAGGAAGCTCCACACATGAGATACGGGCCCGGGAACACCACAGGGCTCAGAGAGGGGT